ACCAAACCTCTTAAACATCTCTGATGGTGCTTCCCCCAGGCTTCAGACTTCTCCCAGAACAACCTGGAAATACCATCCCAGAAGATAGGGTACACAGGTGGCCCATCAAGGCCATTCTGCAAGTGAAGGGCATGTCTATCTGACGCTCGCACAGCACCTTGCCTGATCATAGTCCTGACCTGCATCGGGGAGAGCCTGAACAAGTCATGCACCACATTCAAGTCATCTTTGATGGTGTGCTGGCCTACAAAGTCCCAGCCTATGCCCCGCAACGTTAAAAGCGCGACGTCGCTGGGGGAAGACGCTGACCTCCAGGGCTGAGCTGAATTCTGAAACTTGGCGATCGAGACCCTCATGGTATTGGCCAACACCTGAACGTGAGGGACAGCTTCCCAAACAGCAGTCGCCCACATGAAAAGCACGTGCCCCACGTAAACCACCAGAGGGTCTACCTTGGCCCCAAGCCCGTACGTGTACATCCTGAGCCCAACTGAAGCACCTTTAGGGAGCCTGCCTAGGGAACTAGCAGCACCGATACGGAGCCCAGCCATTTTTGTGGGGGCCACCCCAGAGACCGAGGATCCCCAGAGGGCCGATGCCACTGGCCCCATCCTGTGAACCATCCCGATGTCGGCTCCAGCTCCTTGCAATATCTTGAGCCTCCTGGCCCTGCGCGATGCACCTGCAAGCCTTGAGTTTTGAATTCCAATCCTGCGGAGTCCTCCCAAGGTAGCGTTGGTCCCAAGATTCCTCGCCGTGTCGGTGCGGCAAGAGGTGGAAAGGGACCAGGCCTTGGACAGGTGCGCCTCAACCTCCTTCGAGCAAAGGTAGGCACACTTCTTAAACGCCACAGGAAGCTGCAGCTGCTTGAAGCTCTTGATCAGAGACTCTACTCCACCAGCCAGTTGGGCCGCCACCTGAAGCTTGGGCCCGCAACACTGAACGGTGATGTCGTCCACCACATTGCGCACATACAACAAGTTCCTGCTCTCACGGGCCTCCAAGAGCGGTCCTAGTAGCAACATCTTGGCGAACGTAGTGGCCCCCGAGCACCCAGCTACGATCGCCCCGTTCGATTCGACGACGGCCGACGAAGCTCCCCCGTAAAGAAGCACACGGTAGCCTGCATAGATGGTACAGTAAGCTTTGACCAGCCTAACAGGGAAGCCAAACCGTTTAGCTGCAATCAGTAGGTCCCCGTGGTTAACATTCTCATAGAACTTAGCCAAGTCCAAGAGAGCCGACGCTGATTCGAAACCTGCTTTACGACAATGAGCCCCGAGCAAGTTGTGGACCCATCCAGCCCTCTCGCACATAGTGTCGGGCCCAGAGCCCCAGAAAAACTCGTACACGCGGGACTTTTCCCATGAGCGGCAATGCGGCTGCCTCAAACGGCTCCAGAGCTTCATGAAAAGGCCGAGCAACCCGATCGGCCTGACCCCTCCCGTCGGTTTGTCCAAGAAAACCACATTGGTCAGGAACATCAAGAAGGCCCCAGGGTCAACCTCGAAGAGCGTCAAAATCTCCAGAAGCCGAAACTGGTAACTTTCGGGCAGCTGCAATACCCACCTCGGGTGAAATCCATCCCAGCCTAGGCCCGCCGGGCCCGTACATCCTGCAAACTCGGTGTAAATCCTCCAGTCTGAGCGGGGAAAGGGCAGCCTCGTCGGCAGGAACTTCCCAGGAGCTCGGTGCGGGCCCGCGGCCAGCTCGAAACCACATCGGATGCCACGCATCGACAAGCTCTTGCACTGCGGCCTGACCAGCCACTGGAAGTCGAGGATCATCTGACATACCTCGCGAAAAAACACTCGAGACCTGTTGCTTGGAGAAGGCATGAGCCGCTTTACCACCTCCAGAGACGGCACTCTTGGCCCATTCCTTCCACTTTGCCAGCAGCGAAGCCGCGTCCAGCCTCTGGCGACGAGTGCACTCTTTGCAGATGGCCCCATTGACGTCGTCGTTCCAAGATCCTTCACCCGATGCCGCCATAACGATGGTGTGCAGCTGGGCCTTGGTGGGCCCCTCTTCAGTCAGCTGGAGGTCCTCCAAAATGTCGAACAGCTTAAGCTTCCAGGATCCCAAAAGAGCTCTCCCCTTGGCGCCTGGGTTCCCAGCACTGATAGCTTTTGCCTTCTTGAGCAGGGCCTCGAACGAGATCCAGCAGACAGTCTGCTTCGAAAAACGCCGACGGTGATCTCTTTCCGAGACTGGGGCCCAGCGGAGCGACCAACGTACCCTTTCAGATCACTTATCCCATGAATTTCTACCAGGCGAGCTTCGGCTTCCCCGAACCACTCCCGAGCAAGCGAGTCCAAATCTGAGTCTAGAGGGTCGCTCCATTGGATGTCCCTTTCCTGCGGCAGCGGCCCCATGAGCGCGGTGCTGAACGGCTTGAAACGCGTCTGCTGCTGGACCACAGCCGTCTGGCAGAGGTTCCCCAACCGAAGCAGCACAGGGCAATGGGGAAAAAGCGGCGCTCCTCGGATAGCCTGGACATCTTTGATGCATGAGCTGATAGCCGATGACACGACGAAGTAGTCAAGCTCCCTTCCTCCTCCGTCATGCTCCGTCAGCTCCTCCTCCTCCTTATCTTCTCCCATGGCAGTCCTAGGAGCGCAGGCCGAGCAGGTTGCCTGGCCAGTAGCGGCTAGCACACCGTGCACATGCTGTATCCAACCTGATAGCTGGAGAGCCGCGGGCGTGAAATTCCAATCACCTTGCACAACCCACGGACGCTTACTGCACAATAGAAGCGCTCCCAAAACTTCCAAAATCTCTAGATTCTCGCCCGTCACGCCTATGTCGTTGACGAGATAGACACTGTAGATCTCAAGGCCCTGGTCGAACCCCGCATTGATGACCCGACCTACGATCCTCCCGTCGAACCTGCCCAATCCTGGAAGATCCAAGGGCCTCGAAGCAATCTCCCCAGCGACCAAAATACCGACTCCTCCAGAGCTTTGCAGGGGCCCGTCGCCAGTGCTGAGGGCCTTCCCGAGGGACACCTGGTACCCATTCCTGCGGGCCCAACTCTGGGCCGAAATAATCTTGTCGGGGGACTTCAACCTTGTCTCCTGGAGCGTGACCACCTGGAACTTGCTTTGGACCAAACCCCAAGAAGCCGCCCCAGACCCTCCGACGTCTGCTTGATCTCGGACCCAGTTCACTACAGTGTCTGCCGTAGACCAGCTGTTGACACATTGGCTCCAAAAGCGCACAAGTCAGCAGATCCCCGCGCTACACCAGAGTCACGATCGTCCGCAAGAAGATTACGAGCGGGAGGTACTTCCGCCCTCCCGTCGGATTTCAACCGAAGTATTTTCGAATCCGCATCGGGCTCCACTTGGGGACGAGGGTGGCCACGCACACTGCCAGCCAATCTAACTTCTGCGTCTGGAAGCTGCGCCAGCAAAACATCCTGCCCCCCCTCCCCACGCGCTGAGTCCCCCGCCTCCTATGGAAAGGGTGCCCTGGGGGTGGGAAGGGCAGGTGGCGACGACTGTTGCGTCCTAACGCCACGCGAAGAACAAGCCGTCGCAGCCGAAGAAGCCGACCCCGCTGCCGAAGATGGGGACGCCCTCTGAGCTGCTCGTGTCCCCAACCCCGAGGAGCGGGCCAGTTGGGGAGCCCCCGCAGGAACCTGCAATACCGATGACGCCGAAGGGCCGCTGCAGGCACTCGAACTCCCCGTGCATGCGGGCAGGGGGGTTCGACGAACGGGGGCTGAATCCCCTGCCCCCCTGCCCTTCGGGCCGAGGCCCCGTCGTGGCCGAGCCGTGCAGCCCCAGCGCAGGCCAAGCCTGGAGGTCAAGAGCTTCTCCAGCGCCGGCCTGGGCCAAGCCCCCACGACGCCAGATCGGCTCAGCCAAAGCCCCCGAGAGGGCCTGCACAGGCCGCGGGAGCAGCGACGGCACCGCGAAGCCGATCTCCTCCGACCAGTCCACGTCCACGACGTTGTGGTCCCAGAAGCGCTCGAGGTCGTCAAAGCCTCCGCGCACGTTTGATCCCCAAGGCTGCGGCCGCCTGGGCGTACTTGCGCTTGGCGGCATCCTGAGCTTCTCCTGGGGAAGCTTGCCTGAGCTCCTCAGCGGCCTTCCTGAGGTCTTCTGTACGCGCCTCGATGTCGATGTCGTCTTGGCCCAGCAACTCCATGTCGATGTCATCTCCGTCTCCATCAGCTGCTGGGATGCCTTCACCTCCTCGCGCCCCTTCGGCACTGCGAGCTCCTGAAGCTGCATCGCCGCCAGGAGGAGCGTTGCCGCCTGGACCGCCAGGATGCTGAGCAGGAGCACCTCGAGCGGCCACCGCTTCCTTCTGGCGCTTGTCCAGCACGGCCAAGGCTGCCCTGACCTCGGCGTCTTCGTGGAGCGACTCGTCCAAGGCGGCCTCGGTGATCTTGACCAAGTCCCCGAGGTCAGTGGCCGACACCTTGGCATAGACACCTTCAGCTTGTGACAGGTCTCGCCGAAGCGACTCCACAGAGGCCTTGATGGCTGCCTCTTCCTCATCGAGGGCAGCTCGACGCTCTTGAAGCTTGCGTAGCTGCTGCTCGAACTTCTCGTTCTTCTTCCGCAGGTTCTCGACCCTCCAGCGAGCCGTGACCACGAAGGGCGGGTGCTCGGCGACTTCACGCTGCTGCGCAGCTGTGACAGAGGCCACCAGCTCGCCCTGGATGCCCTTGGCCTGCAGGAAGTTGATGACCTCCTTGAAGGACGGGCCACCGTTGCCGCTGCCGCCGCCACTGCCTGGAGGGGCAGACTGAACTTGCTGCTTGTTGTCCTTCTCCTTGTCCTTGAGCAGGGCGTCCAACTGCTTCTGCATGGCTTGGATGGTCTTGGCCTGGGCGTCACCTGGACCACCAGGCGGGCCATTGGCCCAACGACCCTTCCCTCCATTGGCAGCAGCTGGGCTCCCCTTTCCACCTCCCTTGGCGCGGTTGGCTGCCGCTTGGGCCGCCACGAGCACGCGTTGGGGGCAGGAATTTCCACATCCTCGGCACTTGACCCTGCTTGCCCAGTTGTCAAATGCCCCGCACTTGCCACATCCCCAGAGGGGGAGATGCGGCCCTGGAAGCACATCGGGCCCCATCCACGACAGCGAAAGCAGTGGACAGGGGAAAGCTTGGCTCGCGAACGCGGCGCCTCTCTGAAGTACGCGTCCGCAACTCTCAAAACCTGAGAGCAGAAAGGCGTGAGCCAGGCTACGGAGCATGAGGAGGAGGAGGAGGAGGAGGAGGAGGAGGAGGAGGAGGAGGAGGCGGAGGAGGATAAGGAGGGGCAGGATGAAGAGAAAGAGGCGGGTAAGGGAGGAGTAAGGAGGAGGAGGGAGGAGGAGGTGGGAGGAGGAAGAGGAGGAGGAAGGAGGAGAATAAGGAGGGGGGAGGCAGCCTCCTCGGAGGGCGGCGGGGCCTCTCGGAGGCCCTCTGGCCTCGTGAGCATGCGCCCCCCGTGTCTGCGGGAAGGCTGTGCATCGAAGAGCCTCTCGGGAAACCGCTCAACTGACTGGCGACGATAGATAGGGGGGGCTTGATGGGCACATTTTCCACCACCACCATATGTAGGGCGGGGGAGAAGGGAGGATGAGGAGGTCCTCCTCCTCCTCCTCCTCCTCCTCCTCCTCCTCCTCCTCCTCCTCCTCCTCCTCCTCCTCCCTCTCCTCCTCCTCCTCTTCCTCCTCCTCCTCCTCCTCTTCCTCTCCTCCTCCTCCTCCTCCTCCTCCTCCTCCTCCTCCTCCTCCTGCTCAGCATCATCATATTCATCATCATCCTGACTCTCCTACTCATGGTATTGGTGGTGGAAAATGGGCCCATCAGGACTGGCATAGGAGGGGATGCATCGACCTGGAATCGGCGATGCATCGCCAATAGATCGGCGAGAGGCACCCGATGTCGAATCCGCACCTTCCTGTGCAGGCTGGGACCATCGGGCCCCCATCGACGCTCAGTGGGCGGGGTCGATGCGTCCCACCCTGTGCCCATCCCCCCTTATCGTTGCCCCCGATGAACCTTGAACGGATGGCGGCTGTTCGACAGCCAGCTCGTTCCTCAAACATGCTCGCGTCGTGAGAACATCAGCACCATAAGGGCGTGCTCCGTCGTGCTTCGGCCCCTGAGGGACCTGGCCGGGCTCCGGGAGTGTCGAAAGAAACTGCTCAGCATGAAAAGCCGCTCCCCAGGGAGTGGGCCGAGACTGCCCCCCCAAAATGAAGACATCGGATCTCTGGGCCGTTCCACATCCAAGAGATCCTCGCGTTTCCATGTTTGGGCCAAGTGTCTTCGCCCGGTTCCGGTCCCCCGGACCCTCACAGATCGGTGCGTCTTGAAGGATGGAGCAGAAACGTGGGGTCTGAGGCTCTGGTCGTGCTTTTTCACGATGCCGAGTCATTTCGCTACGTCGGATTTCAGGGATTGCCCGATTCTGGGCCACTGACGGCGTTCAACCTTGAACACCTTCGGCAGGATAGCCCTATGTGGATTAACGTTGGTTAAAGAGGCCCCAGGACACACAAATAAATACACACGAATGAAACTATTCCCCATATTTCCCAATATGTTCTGGGTTTTTGTCTTCCCTCCCACTTCCTATATTTGCCCATATTTTCCTGGGAGTCGACGATCAATTGTGACTGTGTGTTTTTTCCCCCCTGATTGGTGCCCGCTGCAGGTGAGGAGGGACCAGCTCCTCAGGAGGGCGGAAGCCCACGGAAGTACGTCGCTGACATATAGACACGGCCACGGGCTGCTGATAGCGACACCGCACGGTCCTGCATGGGCTGGGCTTTCGGGCCCCTGTGGTCGGTTCACGCGGCGTCGGCGCGCGCAAAGGCTTGTGACATCGCGTCGATCGTTCAAGCCTTGAATCGATCGCGGCCCCGATAATCCTGGGCTGAAATGCCATCGGGTCTCATTGCGTTACCGTGTCCCTCAGTGCTCGCTAGAGGCCTCCTAGATGGGGTCCGAGTGGATGGGGTCGAAGGATCGCGCCGCATCGCTCCGCACCAGCGATGCGTCGGCGGCATCGGCGCGGGGAATCTCGGGCTCCACACCGAGCCGTATCGCCGAGCCGTATCGCCGATGAATCGGCGATGCGGAGCGATCCTTCAACCCCATCTAGTGGGACCCCATCTACCGGCGGCGACGATAGGGGCGAATAGCCCAGGGGCGGGCATTACACGTATTCGCCCCGGAACCCTGTCGAGGACATATAGATCATCGGCGCACCTGAATACATGAATTGCTCTCCCCTGGGCTATTCGACCCTATCGTCGCCTCTGACCCATCTATCGGCGGTGGACAAACCTCCCTTTAGCAAACCTCCCCGCAATGAGAACGCCCTGGAACCGAAACCGACGGACCTGGACCCGCAAAAATGACGGCCGCGACGACCTCTCGCGAACCGCAAACGGCCAATTCGCTAATCGACGTGTCAGGGTAGGAGGTCTGTCCACCCCCGAGAAGGCCCCCCGACGAGGACCGAGGCTGCATGGCCGACGAGAGCTGCCGAACACGTCCGAAAGCCACGCGAACCACGCGAACCTCGCGCCACGGAGCCCGTCCACCCCTGCCGTCGGGGCGTTGACCTCCGAATCCAGGAGCTTCGGCCTCCGAATCTAGGAGGCCTAGGATTCTCAGGGATCCTGCCGTGCGAAGACCGGCGGTGCAGCAGCGGAGGGGGCCCGGCGTGTCCCCCCCCCCCCGAGCCGATCCTTCCCTGGCGTCAGGTCGGGCATGTCCCCCTTGGAGGCCGAGCTTGGACGACAAATAGAGCAACAGTCAACAACTGCTCAGAAATGCGCAATAAATAGGCAAGAAGTCGTCCCCAGACCATTCTGGGACTGTTTTTGAGTACGCTCCCCCTGTGAGGGACACGCCCGACTTACGCCTATCCTTCCCTAACGTGGCCCACTGACGTTAAGTCGGGCGTGTCCCCCTACAGAGGGGACCTTCGACGAAGAATGAGAAATGCCCCCAAAATGCCCCAACACAGGTCCGAAAATACTCCAAAAACTAATCCCCCGACTTTTTTTGGACTACGTTTTGACTATTTTAGGGGGTATTTTTAATTGTTCGTCGAATTGTATTTAGGGGGGTATTTTAGGGGGTATTTTAGGGGGTATTTTAGGGGGGTATTTTGGGGTGTATTTTAGGGGGTATTTTAGGGTGTATTTTTGATTGTTCGTCGAATATCCCCCTGCAGGGGGGACACGCCCGCCTTGCGCCCATCCTTCCGGGCACCCCGAGGCTGGGGCCGCCGGGGACTTCTACAGAAAGCGTCCCAAACCTCCTCCTCCTCCTCCTCCTCCTCCTCCTCCTCCTCCTCCTCCTCGTCCTCCTCCTCCTCGACGGTGCCGGCGTCGGCGTCGTCATCCTTCCACCTCCTCCTCCTCCTCCTCCTCCTCCTCCTCCTCTCCTCCTCCTCCTCCTCCTCCTCCTCCTCCTCCTCCTCCTCCTAACCTTGGCTTCAGTCGGGCCGGTCCCCCTACAGGGGGATTTTCGACAACAAATAAAAAATACCCCAAAAATAATCAAACAATATCCCAAAAATAATCTGGAGACTATTTGTTGTGTATAGTTTGACCTTTTTGGGGTATTGTTGGGGTATTTGTAATCTTTCGTCGAAAATGCCGCTGTAGAGGGACAGGCCCGACATAAACCTTGGCCCCCGTCACGAGCGGCGAACATGTCCGTATCCGCGAGCTCGCGGTCGGGATTCCAGGGCGCGATCCCGCGGATGCGCGGCCGCACGGGCACGTTCCGCGCGGGGCATCCGCGAGAAAACGCCCCGCATCCGCGGGGTCACGACCCAGAGGACTGGCCCGCGAGGCCACGGCTATGGATTTTTGCATGCCATACCATCTAACTGGCTCTTACGAATGAACGCTGATCGACAAGAACCAGCGCTAGTCGACGCTGAATGAACGCTAATCTACGAGAATCGGCGCTAAACCGGCGCTATCTCATCGACTACCAGACGCTAGTCGACGCCAATGCGCTCCAAAAACGCAGTAGCGAAGGCAGACGAGGCTCCCCCGATGTGCTACCGAAGGATACGTTCCGCGCGGGGCGTCTGCGGAAAGCAGGCCCGAGATCCAGGTCGCGACCCAGAGGCCCAGCCAGCCCGCGCGGTCGCGGATGCGTCAGGTTCGTGTCGTGCCGACGTCGACGTTGGTGTCTGACACCGCGGGGAACGATCGGCCGTTTCCGAAACGTCCAATCTTGAGCAGGGACCGACCGTCCCGGCATTCCTACAGTCATACCACGAACTGTTCTTAGAACCCAAGAATGTTCTAAGAGCAAAAACAATGTCCTTAGAACACAACCCCGACGTGTGAAAACAAGACGGCCCCAGCCAGAAATGTCCTAAGAACACTTCGTGGGAACCACCGAACATTCTTGGAACATTGTCTGGTGGGGCTATTGGCGAGCCGGGGCGCTTCCTCCTCCTCCTCCTCCTCCTCCTCCTCCTCCTCCTCCTC